AATTGGTCTTAGGAGAAGTTTCGAATTCTCCTTGACCTCACCGGTATAGATGATGCTACCAGTAGCTATGCTACCATTGACATCGCCCTTGGATTCATTGCCTTCACTAAACCTCATAACTACGACAAGGTGTCAATCCCCAATAAATGACGAATATCTAGAATAAATATAAAATATCTTTACTTGTGTCATATTAAGTTAATATTCCTAATTTAAGCTTCATTATTGTTCAAATTATATAAAACAAAATTTGAACATTCGAAATTGATTTCTTGAATATAAATTAATAAGTCATAAAGTTAAGAACTTTATTAAAAATAATACAATTGTTGTAAGCAAAAACATAAAAATGTTTATAAGTCTTTAAATACATTTATTAATTAGTAAAATGTTATAAAAAAAGTAAAACTATAAAAATGTTTTCAACATTCATTGAAGAAAAGTTTGTTAAAAATAGTTAAAGACGTCAGTTAAAACAAATTAAAGATTAAGTATAACCTATTTTAGCTTCAACTTTAATTTACGATTACAGGGAAATACACCCACTGATGTATCCAAACAAATGGGATGTAAATGTAATTGTTGTAATAATAGTTTCATTAGCAGTCACTTAATATCTTGAAAGTAGCAGAAATCTCAGGGTATAAACAAAACTTTATAAATCTTTATGAGAACTTGCGAAGTGGGTTAAACAAGCTAAACTAACATGATGACAAGCTCAAATCAGTACAACAAGAGTACATGAAATAAAAAAGAAAATGTTACTAACTGACAACTGCAATGAAAAAGCTTAAAAACAGATACAAATGTCTGCCCTAAAGTCTGACGGACAAGGAAGCATACATAATTATGGAGCAACTATACCTATAACCTACATTGCGACAACCAAAGGAACTGGCATACGAATGCCAGCTTTATTAGAGTAACTGCATCAATAAGCAACAGTTGGCAATTAAACCAACACCACACAATCATCATAGCAGCAATGCCGATTACAACAACGCATATTAATGGATTCCAGGGTGCCGCACACACAATCCTCCTACTGAATTTCCAACAGAAAACTTATTACAAACTCATTAAATTGAAGTAAATCAACCGACAAAACTCTAAACCACTACTCGATTGCCAACTTGGCAAGAACTTTCCTCCTTTTTATTTGTGTTTTGTTGTGTTGTCGTAGTGCTTGCCGGCTTCTTGCTTCATAAGATTTATAAATCTGAGCCTAGAATGAAATTGAAAGTAATTAAGTATGTAATAAAAATGTAATCATTAAACTAATTAAAACAAGATTTATAACAACATGACTTGCGCTAACATGTCTTTCTGGCCAACTTTCGTCAATGGAATTAAATAAACTTTATCATTTAACTTTAATATAATGTGAAGTTTATTTTGCTTAGCTATTTAAGCTACCAGTTAGGCTGGAATGATATATATACACAAAATTCACAAATATTTATCATATATATATATACAATAAGTTACTACTATTTACTACCATTAAAACCTATTTAAAATCTGTTCTAATCTATAATTAAACTAGTCTGTTATTATCCAAATTGAATATAATCAACCATTGCACCTTATGTGTTGTGAGATGACAGATCTCTGCTTTTTCAGAGATCTGCTATTTTCAGTTAAAAATAAGAACTGTCATCTCTGCTCTAACTATTTTCAGTTAAAGATAAGAACTGTCATCTCTGCTTTAACTAAGTAATTTTCCATCTCAAGTAATGATATGTGCAGCTGTGATCGCCAATGGACGCTCTCCAATCGTTTTCATCAAGTCTGGTGTGAAGGTCAATGCGATTTAAAGCCGTGGGCACACAAACATTTCAGTCATACACTATGAACGTGTCAACAAGACTCGGCAACGGTCTCGTTCTGATATAGTTTATGTGAACCAAGATTGGTTAAAAACTCACACTTCATTGCATCTACACAATGGCTTTAAAATTTATCTGGTGCAAGTCCGATGGACTATTCTATCTGGGCCATTTTGGAGAGCAAGGTAAGGGCCAAAAAAATATGCCAATATGGATGCGATAAAGAAAGTCTTTATTCAGGAGTGGGCTAAAATATCGGAAAATCACATTCGTGAAGCATGCAACTTATTTTTTTAACCGTTTGAAGGCCTTAGTCAAGGCAAAAGGTAGTCACATCGAGCTCGAGTGAAGGGGTTTCGAAATTTTGATTATTTTCATAAATTTTTATAACGTGAAAAAATTATAAATTATTTTATACAAAAAATATATGGTCGCTTGAATATGTAACATTGTTAACTATTCAATCGCCTAATCCTATATATATCATTAGAATAAACCGATCGTATTTTTTTATCTAATTTAAGTTTTCAACTAGTAGGTGGTATTTTTTACTAGTTCTGTGTTATTACAACTAATTTCTTTTACTAGTTGCAAACATTTTTTTTCGTCCTATTTTATTCAACACGGAACACAAAGATATCTACTTATGTAAGGTAAACAATATTCTGAAACCAATGAGGTTATTATATTCATAATACCAAAATGTTCCTAACCATATTCTTTCAATTGCATTTTAACCACAAAAAAAAATATTTGTTTCGGTTAACCCAACAGCCGTCTGCTGTCACTAAATTAGGAATAACCACAAATAGGAATAAGAATACTCCTCCGTTAGAACCCATAGAGCTCTTTTAGTATTGCATTGATATTTTTATGTGAGAATTAAAAAAGAAAATAAAAATAAACTAAGAAAAACAGAGAAAATTAAAAATGTTATGAACTCCTGACCACCAGCAGAAAATCATTTAAAATACGTTCATTATTATTTCCATGACATTTATGGTGCAAAGGCTACATAAAATCATTGGACGAGCGTGTGTATGGCTTACCATATTAGCGCACGTGAAGGTACAAATCCGCTGAGACTTAGCAAGGCGTTGCGGCCTTAATAGAGTCATAACTTGAGTCCCGAGCGAATTGTGGTGCCAAGCATAGCTGCCTTCTTCAGTTTTCCAGTTTTTATGCAATTTTCTCTGCGGTTTTATGGACGAGAATTATTTCAATACACGCCACCAAAACTGAAACTGCAATGTTGCATGCTGCGCCCGTTCAGCAGTTTAAGTACATATTCTTTATAGATTTTTAATTTTTTTATTTCTCTATTTAGTTTTTTGTTTATTATGTGAGACTATTTTACAGCTTCTCTATTATTTCCAAAGAACATTGAGACCAAAGTTTATTATTGGCTTTATTGTTTTCTGACATTGGTTCGAGCACGATTTTCAGTTTTAGAATTATAACGAAAACGCTTTGCAAATGGTTTGAACGGCTGTATTGGATGTCATTTAGTTTAGGAAAATAAGCGTTTATAAAAATTAAATTTTGTATATATAAATTATAAATATATATAAATTATTACTCTGTATTAGTTGTAGCCATTTTTAGATAGGTGAACTATAACTGATTGTTGCATTTTTTTCCATTTGAGGTTATGCCTTTGAGCTATCCTTGCGTAATAAATTAGACAAAGATGTACAACAATAATTTTTTAGTTCATATTTTGGAGTAAAAATGCACACATTCTCAATCAATTTTTGTTTATTGAAGAGTGGACTAACATTTCTTGAATCCACTCTTCCTCTTAATCCAACTTGTAGACGTCAAGAGTGGTGTCTGGCTAAAAGGTGCTCACGGTGAAAACTCTAACCTATGTACACAAACAAAAAAAACTAAAAGTGAAGAATTTCTTGAATGGATACCTAACACGATCTATTCAAAAGAGACTAACAGTAACAACTTTCTGGATATTTGAACGAAAAAGATTAACAGTAAAAATTCTCTTAAATGGACATCTACTCTCAATCAATTTTGAAGATTTCAAGAGTGGTATTCAGATAAAAAGTGCTTAAGGTTGAATCTGTAAAGTGTGTGTCCAATAGAGATTAGAAGTAAAAAATTTCTTGATAGACACCTAACACTGTCTGTCCAAAAGAGATTAACAGTAAAAACTCTCTTGAATGGACAATTTTGAAGAGGCATAAAGTAGTGTCCAGCCAAAAGGCGATTATAGTAATAACTCTTTTGAATGGAAGTTTGTACAATAGAGACCAGATATTAAAGGCTTATAATGGAGCCTCTCCTCAATAGATAGTTATCGTCAGCCAACTTTTGTTTGTTGAAGAGTGATGCCTAATATAAGAGACTTACAGTGCAATATTCTCTTCGATGCATTTTCATTGTCAGTTCACAATATAGTGAAAAGAGGCTAACAGCAAAAACCTTCTTGAATGGATACCCAACATCAATTATGAGTAAAAATTCTTTTGAATATAAATTAATGGTCGGTCAACTTTTATATAGTGAAGAGTGATATACGGCAATTAGTAACTTACAATGAAAACTCTTAAAAACTCTCTTGAAACTCTCACTTGAAAAGTCTCTTAAATGGACAATAATCGTCAGCGAACTTTTGTTTTTTGAAGATTGATATCTAGCGTAAGCGTTTTACAGTGAAAAACTCTTCGGGATGCATAGTCATTGTCAATAAGTTTTTGTTTGTAGAGAGTGGGGTCCGGTGAAAAGATGTTTTTTTATCGGATAATAATGAGAAATAAAATTTTTAGAAAAATTGTTCCGCAAAAGAATTGTCCTTTTAATAGAAATTTCTATTTGGAAGTGTGATGAATTAGTACATAATGTACTAATTGTAGATTAAAGTGTAATAGTATTGAGATGGTAGCTATAAATCCTACACACAATCACATAAAAATTTTAATCAATTAGTTTTATCTCGACATTCTTAATTAAATCAAAAAGTAGGAAGAAAAGGGACAACGAAACTCTTGATGTAATCTTTATTGTCATTAGGACAACATCTCATTGGAAAACACCTTATACTTGATCAATTGTTAATTAAATAAATTTTAATTTCAATCAATTTCAGTAGACCATGCATTTATTTATATATCATTTATTAAAATTATTTCTGTTAACAAAAAAATTTTCAACACATTGCGATTGCATATAAACTTTCTTGAAAAGAAATATATTGGAATAATTCGTAATGGACCAAGGCGTGAACGACTGGGCGGAACGCCTCTTTTGCTCTTCTGATTCCGCTGACATTGGTCAAACGGTATGGTAATAATAATAGTAAAGTATATAGCAATATATATATATTTGCATTAGCACCTATTTTAAATTTATATCAAATAAATTGTTTTCAAACGCAGGACCCTATGACGGAATCATGTACTATAGAAAATGAGTTTATTAAAAACTTGTGGGAATTGGCAAATTCTGAGCATGATTGCGTAAAGTGGACTGATTCCGGAGATTCTATTATCATTGATCTTTTATCGCTTGACCAATACTTATATGCAAAAAATAATGATATTAAAAACTCTGCTCAATTATTAAAGCGATTATGTCTTTCTGATTTCATCATTCAAGAGAACTTGAATAATGAAACTGAAGTAACTGTTAAACATGGATACTTCAAAAAGGATGGACTTCAACTCAACTTAATCGAATTCTTTGACATTGAGTTATGTAACAATACATCGCTTGAGTATACGGATCTAAGTCAACAATGTAAATTAGAATCTAAGGTTCCTTTAAAGCAGGAAAAGGTTAGTGTAGATATCAAAGCAAATGATTATGTTGGAATGGATTTTGGTGCCCCAAAAGCAGAGTTTAGATTTTTTAGTGGCAAATATAAATTGAACACAAATAAAACCATTGATCTATTAATTACTGGACCACAAGGGTTAATATGCAAATATTTTAAGTAGAATTCATTTATGAAACTTTATTTATACACATATCGTTATAGAAATCAACAAGACGTGTGTGAGCTTCAGAAAGCAGTACATGCTGTTATGAAATCCGCTACTGGTAATAATTGTCCAACTCAAGGTAATAATGGTGAATTATTTTCATCTGTTAGGTTTCTAAGATGTAATATAGTGTGATGAATAACTCAATGAATCAATGACTAATGAATATGAATTACTTGATTTTATAGATCATATTGTAGAAACTAAAGATACAGTCGAACCTAAACTTGTTGCCTTTGAAGAAAATTTTGGAAATCCATCTGATTATACTCCAAATGACAAGAATTTAATTTAAGCATTTACTTGTAGCTTTCATTTCAGTCATAATTATTAAATTATACTAAGTTTGTAAATAAATATTCAGCTGATTTCAGTTAACTTAAAGTTCTTTTTATTATCAATATAATTATAAGTAGACAAAATAAATAATCGATATTATTTAAATTTAGAATATATAAAAACGAAAATGATTAAATAATAAAATATAATTAAAAAAAATTTTAAAAAAATTTAAGGTAATTCGATCAAGTCCAGTACATCAATAATCATCATCGGAGACAATCTTAAATCTTCCGCAATTTTAGATGATGTAGTGACGCTTTCATTAACAGTCGAAGATTGTGTGCGACCTCTGTGAGATTTGTACCAAAACTCACCTTCCTACTCCCTGCAGAATTACTGTTCGCTTTTAGTTCTATCAGCTCACATCGGGTGTTGAAAGTCTTTTCTAAGAATATAATTTCGTCGTTCAAGTATGCAATTACATATTCTCGAAGAGTATATCGCAATTTAGATATGGATGCACAGTCTATAGAATCTAATTAGTTCACAAAATTCATTTTGTTTAGTCTATGGACCTCTATTGTCTAAGGGTCCTATTCGATATTAACTTGAATGCAGAGTTTCTTTAGGGTTGCATATCATTCCATGATTTAACGGAGTAGTAATTTTGGGAGGATATGTTAGCACGGTACGTTTGACTTTATATGTACAAAATGGTTATATTTGATCTCGGTTTCTAATATCAAGGCATATATTACAGTAAAATTATCAATTCTGCGATTATTTTTCGAGCTTGTCGATTCCTTTAGAATGAGTAGTCAAAACTTATCTCTACCATACGGATGCTTTTCAGCTAGTGTGTTTTCATTCTTATTTCAACCTTTTCATTATTAACTAAGTATTATTTAAAGTATTTAAAAATTATTTTCTAATAAGAATGAAATAAATTCTTAGTACGTTTTTGTATTAACGTAACTATATTCCTTATAAACACAGTTAAGCAATTTAAATGCAACACCTCCTACAATCTCATAATTCTCTTAACAGTAGGAGCTTTAGGCAGAATCGGAAGTTCAACTGTAGTGCTTCTATCGAAATTTGTAAAATGAATAGCAACAATTGTTGCAACTACCACATCAAAGCTGAAAGGAGCATTGCAAAGCAGCCATTGGCAACAATTCATTATTTTTACCGAGGCTGTTGCAGTTATTCTTGCTATGCAGTTGCAGTCGCTCCTTCACTTTGGGGTTGCCATTGCATTGTTTATGCATTTATGCGCTAAAACTTTTCAAATGATTTTGTGATTATAAACTTTACCGAAGTCACCATTGAAGAGTTGCACAGTTTGTATCAAAACATGCAATTTTGCATCAGAAGGATCCGAATCAGAAGCTTACAATAGCCAGTTCGGATTTGCCAAACCATCTCAACTGTTGCACCCGCATGAATTTTCCATTCGCCTTTCGTGGCTTTATGGCAAGGTTTTGGTGTTTGTGGCTTTTGGTAGATTTTATCTTTTGAAATTTATTTACACAGACTTTTGTATACTTTTGTTTACTTTTGCTTTATATAGTACAGTTGTGAATATTTATGAAAAAGATACTCAAGCCGCTTTGAACGAAAAAAAAAACTGCCTGACCTGTTACTTTGGTTTGAGAGTTCACGAAGGAAATTAAATATAATATATATTGTAAATTAACTTAAATCTTAAAAATGATCTTATAAAAGAGTTAAAAGAATGATAATGATTATATAGAAATATATTTAAATAATATTGAAAAAAATTTTTTTTTTGACAATACATCAAACAGACCCGTACTGTCCTTAAATTCAATTGATTAATAATAAAATTTAGTTACTTAAGTTAATAGTTACTTAAAAAAAATTTATAGGAGAGGTTTCGAACAGTATTGAATTGCAACAACAAAAATTTTTAATTTTTTTTGGAATTAATTGAATTTTTGACTGACTATACAGTTGTTTTGAGTATTGCTAAATACCTATTATCGGTGGTCCAGCAATTATCTTTTATATATAATTATTTTTGAATAATTAAGTACTTGGCAATACTCGAAACAGCGCTGTATGATCAGCCAAACTTCAATAAAATTAAAAATAAATTTTTGTGTTTGTCCTTTATTTCTTTCTTTGCTATTCAAAACCCCTCTAAATTTTAATAAAGCTTCTTTGTCAAATACAAAGTCTAGCTTTACAGCAACACGAATACTTTATTCAATTCTTGAATAATAATAAAAAGTTATGCACGGCTTTGGGTGAGTTGACTAATGTACACTAGGTTAGGTTAGGTTCGGAAGGCGTGTGCTGACCGTTGTCAGCACTTCCACACGGAGGCATATATTGCCCATTGTGATAACCTCAAAAATTTTGCCGGAAGAGGCGAATTGCTGAGCTTTGTAATCCTTGTTAAACCATTTGGTTTTCCACATGAAAAAGCGATCCCCGAAACATTGAAGTCGCTTTGTCTAAAGTCCTGAACAGAGATAGAGAAAGTGGTTGATAGATTCTACCTCCTCTTCAACTTGGCAATTCCTGTATAATCAGCTTGTTGGAATTCGTACCTCTGAGCTTCAAATTTGGCAGGGCACAATTTTAACCCTTGGTACTTGCAGTCTCAAAAAATTATTTACGCATAATTAAATTTAAGAAATATTTCCAAGACCACTGATAAAAGGTATTAGGCTATATTGAAACAACTGTATGATCAGCCAAAAATTCAATTAATTAAAAATAAATAAAAATGTTTGTTGTTGCAATTCATTACTGTTCAAATCCTCTTTATTATATACAATAGTTTCTATTACGAAAAATAGTTACTATCGTTATAACTAACGTTAAAATCTAATTTTAAACAATAATTTAATAGTAATTTAAATAATACAAATTTATAAATTTTCAAATATATTTAAGCTCCTTAACATTTATGTATATTAAGAACTTTCAATTATATAAACTTATTTATTTTCACTTCAAATACTTTAAATACACACTTTGGAGCTTTCAGCAATTAAAATTAAATAAAGTTGATTTAATAATTCAATTTAACACAATTAATTACTCATTAAGTAAAATGTTAATATTTGCTCATAGTATTATTAATGTTGTTATGGCGATGAATTAATATTAATGGACATAAGTCCTACTCGTAGGCGCTCAATTAAAATCTTCACGAAATATTTCAATAATTTACAGTTTCATTATTGAGTACTTCATAACATATTTATTAATAATAAAATGAATAAATAATATGATTTGTATTTCTTGCTACATTATCTCTTATAAATAAGAGCACTATCTCATATTAAATAAAAATTAAGAAAATATCTGTACGTATACTTTCCAATTAAATAGTATAAGTAAAGGAAAAAACTAACTAAAAGTTCAATGCATCTTCCACTTACATATTTAAAATGATATTATTCAGTAACCGCCCATTTACTCTTAGATTAACTTCAGAATGTAGGCTCATTGCTGCAGCCGTGATATTGAATCACAGCCACGCAATTGAAGTTCCTTTACATATAAATTCAATGCAAAACTTTAGTGAAGACAAAATGATTTTTTATAATTTCAATCTACTTAAACCGAGAAGAAGTTAAGAAAACTCTATAAGAACTTTGCAGAAGCGTAGAAAAGTTAGTTGGCATAAAAAATTGCTTAAAACACTTGTTGGAGATGCGCCAACATGTAGGACTGCGGATGCACAGCGTGTCTCTATGGATACCATCGCATGATAAGACCGAACAACTGAATAAAAATAAAATATTGTGCAAAAATTTACACTCTGAAAAATGGAGAATTAAAAGTTCAAATTAAATAAAATAAAATATTTTTTATTAAACGTGAACGACTTTAACAAGTCGCTACATTTATTGATTTAGTTGTAAATAATTTTTATGTAAAGTTTCCTATATCTATAGGAAATATATATTTATATATCTTTAAGTTAAATCTACTTGAATTCAGAAGTGGTAATGATTCTAATTCATTCATAACATAATATAATATGCTTGGAATCATTTATAGATTTATGTCTAATATATATACTATCTTCGATCATAATCACTCATTTAGATCAGTGTCAAACTTTTGTAGTATGTCCCATTAAAAAAAAATTTAAGAAAATTTCTATGCACAAGCTGCATTCGGAAGAGGTAAATAATTGAGTCAAGTATTTATTTCTTTCCAAAAGTGAATGACTCAGAAAAATTTTTGGTCCCGTTTTGCAGAAAACGGGATGTATCGCATAATATACAACCAAGAGCTAGAACGGCTAGCTGAAGGTAATGCAAACAACAAATTGATGAAAAAGCAGTGATTAAGATGGGTTGGGCATGTGATAAGAATGCTAGATATGAGAGTACTGCTTAAGAATTTTAACAACGAGGTAGCAACCAGCAGAAGAAGAGGGCAACCAAGAAAACGATGGAAAGACAGATGTGCAGCAGGACTTGGAAAAAATAAACGCAAGAAATTGAAAAACAAAAGCAAAAAATATATATATCTATATAACATATATAGTACATATATATAGTATATATATATAATATATATATCTATAAATATGTTTGTATATATAAAGGCCTCCCCTTTCGTATCAGTCCAAGGGTCTTCAGCCCCTAAAGCTCTATTTTGAAATTTATTGCACTTTATTGAACTTTATTCCATTTAACATTTGATATATAGAAAATTATATAGAAAATTATTAGATCCCTAGTTTGTCAAGTCTGCATAGTACAAGTGATTTTGCTTGGGACAAATTCTATGTTACTATTCTAGATGAATTGCTTGAATTGCTAGTAATATTATTACATTCTTAACATCATTAGTGTACTTTGTAACCCTTTCTTTTCTAGTCACTAACCTAGGACTTAGCTGATGCATTTAAGAGAAAGTTGTAAAGGATTTATCTCCTATATTTTAGCGAAAGTTACAAACATTGATATTATTGGGTCAATAATAATTGGTTGCAGTCGCAGGCCATCAGTTAATTTCCATGTACCTCAATTAATGATTTATGGGTGGATTTTAAGTTCTTTCTTTTTGTGCTACTTCACAACTTAACAGTAATAGTGATA